CTTGGGAGGTAAAAAGCTTATTAGATACCTTTCTAAAGGTTGGTTTAGTTGATTATGACAATGTTTGTCCAGTGAACTAGTTTGGTTTGGTTTATTTTTTTATGGCAAAGCACTCGACAGCTATGTGCCTAAGGGAAGGGATGCCTTCGTGGAGGCCTTTCTAAGGGAACTTACTCGTATACACGTTACACATACAGAAAACCACCAAAACGCCCATGCACTCAGCCCGTTCGTCTGGATTCAAACCCAGTTCTGATTCAAAACCAGTTCAGCTTTCAGCGATTTTATAGCTCGGCCCCGCTAGTGGGCGCTGTCTTTCTAAAGGCAACTGGTATTCATGTTAAACATAAAAGCAGCCATCTAGAATTTCATATCTGGTCAATTGCTTTAAATTTTGTGTTTACATTCGTCAATACGGGATCCAAGCATGTGAAGAATTAAAACATTAAATTTCATTTTCATATTTATTTTAACCAAAGTTAAATTTTACTTGGTTTCTATATTTGTTTAGATCAAATCTTAACCAGTTTTTGAATCTTCCATCAATCGAATGTGCTTGAAAATTTTCACGTACGTACCTGCGATGTCCGCACAATACTACTGGACGAAATTTTTCAAAATTCGGAGCAGGTACTTTTTAATTTCGTATCGATATTTTATCTCATATCTTTATTTTAATATTCTTGTCAATCTTTGTACCGACAGACAGATCGTAAAACAACATTTCAAATAAAAAAGTTTTTTAGAACTTCTAAATTAATTTCCAAACTCTGACCAATTCCCAAATCATCCATTTTTTTTCATTATATCATTGTTAACAGAGACGGATTTTTGAATCGAAAGATTTAATCCTTTTCTATAAGCAGCTGTATAATTTTAAGTGATGAACATCCAAATTACTCAAAAACTTTAATTTTAGCAAGTATTTAAATTGGCTATTAATTATTTTAAAAGATGCGAAGCTGGAAGAGCTTGCCGCAGCTTCTTAAACATTTACTAAGACCATTTTTTTCATATTTTTCCCTTAACGAAAACAGTTTTGCTGTGTAAAAGCATTCTTCTTCTCCATTATTTTTTCCCCATACACAATAGCCTCATTGCAATAGCTTTGACCATGAAAATCATTTAAATGTGTTCTAAAATTACCAAATTCTTTACATATTTTCTCACTTGAGTTTTGATTTATTCTAAATCACAAGAAGTATGCATGTATTTTAAAACTGTTAAATAAAAAAATAGAACGACATGCACTGACCACAAAGTCCAAGCTTGAACCTCTGTTTCAGCATAATCATGTTAAAACTCGGACTCTGCTTTTCTCTCGCACAAAAAGAAATTGAGCTTTGGGGGATCTTGAAAGCACCCTGTAAATAGGACTGTCAGTCAGGCTCTGTGATCAAGAAGTGACATTTATTCTGACGGATCCTAGGTTAAATACAAGCTGTTCTTTGCGTTACAAGCGAAGTAATTACAGACAGTAAACTGCAAGTTCCCGGCCATTTCAGCCGTTTCAACACAATGCACACCTGAAAATGCCTCTTTCAAACTCATCTCTTTAATAACGGCCTCAATTTTCTCCTTGCGAGTGAGTATTTCGGAAACCATGAAAAGATTTTTCTAAATAAAACTGCAGCATTATCAGAAGTTATACAGTGCTAAACTGCGCTCCAATAAAAAAGCAGATAGGTACTAAATATTAATCATTTTGTAGTCTCCCTTCTGTCGAAAAATTTAATTTTTCATTTCTCCATCCCAATCCAGATAACTAAACGTTATCAAAATATTTTTGCGGACGCATGTACAGTAGTACTCCAATTATCTGAATTAACTGTCACCGGACACTATTCGGATAATTAAAAATTCAGATAATTGGACTTTTTAAGAAGAAAGGGTCTACGTACACTTTAATTACTATACATTAAAAATGAAAGAAAAAACTATTTTTAAAGAAAAAGGGGTTTTAATTAGTTAAAATGAAAAGGCAATAATACTTCTGCGTACATGTTATATAGCTTACTATACAGTACCTTACATGTGTTGAAAGTCATTGCTTGTTGAACATCTTGGTCAAAATAAGCTGTTTGACGAGTTAGGCACACAGCTGTCGAGGACACCGTGCCTTTAGCCAGCTGTTACTTGCTTTAAAGGATGAACAACCAAGCTTCTTAGCTAAGATCTTAGCTTTTTCACAAAGAACCGGACCCAAAATTGGGCTTCCCATAAAACGTTGCCGCTAAAACCACTTGGAAACGTTATCTTCTAAATATTTGTTTGTTGCTGCATTGATTTTCTTGAAGAACTTCAATCTTCGTTTTCAAGCAGTGACGCAAAGTTTAAAAGTGTAGGTTTGCTCTTTTTAATATCTGAATTCGCTGATTGTCCAACACAACGTTTCCGTCTTAATTTTTTTCTTAAACTGTGAAAGCTATTCGGATAGTCGGAGTTCGGATAATTAGAGTTATACTGTATTTAAGAACAGTGGGCCTTCCCTCATGCGAAACCGAAAAAATGGGAAAACAAACGGTACACACCGAAAACGTCGAACAATATAGTTCTTTGACGAAACATACGGAGCCTCATGTTTATATAATATTCGAAAAGTACACAAATTCCACCTCCTTTTTTCCCGCAAATGCAGGTATACTTACAAGAGAAATGAAATCTGAAGAAAACACACTACACGTTAGTCCATTACTGATAAAATCTTTTTTTTTAATTAAATATGCTGGGAACCGCGTTTCTTAACGCGAAAACCTAAATATCAAGCCAATTTATATAATATATAAGAAATATAATTTAGAGGCGGGAGAAGGGGAGTCGAGAGTAATCAGTACGTAGTAAATCAGGTTGGCGAGAAGACGGTCGAAAAACGAGATGGGAACTGGAAAGTCTGCAATGTGAAGACAAAACAACCCGCTTGGTTGAGTGTCTGATATAAGTAACTTTCCAACTCTTACGAAATAAACCTTCCGTACCTCTTAAAAGGCACATAAATTTTCGTACGAATAAATCTTGGGAAAAGGGAGTATTTCAATTCCTCATTACTAATTAAGCACAAAATATGATCATCTACTTGAATGTTTCGTTACAAAAATATGAAATAAGTACTAACATAATAAGAAAATAAACTATAATTAAACGAATTTTTGTATGACTTAATATAAGATATACACAAAAAGTTTATTAGGACACTGAAACCAACTCTAAAAATTTAATATTGTACAGTGGTTTTTAATATCGCAAAACAACTGCAATGTTTACTCGCGTATTTCTGTCCTACACGTATCCCCAACATATAATTTTTAATTTTCCGGTTTATGGTAATAACACAAAAGGTACGTACAAACAGAAAAGTTAATTTCCTTCCCTCGACTTCCAAGCTGTAAAATTAGTAAAACAAAAGGGAGGGAGTAACACGCAGGTAAATACAGTAACAATGACTTGATTTGCCGTTCAAAATTTTCTTTCTAAATTACTTTACTCAATTTATTTCACAAAAGATTCCGATACACAGTCTTGCGCACTGGAGATAAAAATGTGTGTGTTGTTCGCCTTCTCCCGTACAGTTTTCCTATTGCTCGCTTTGTAATCGTTGAGTTTGTTAATCAAAAATTCGTTGAAGTGTTACAAAATATGAAATCGATAATAAAACAAATTTCAAATTAGACTTCAGATGCCCATTAGGTGTGGAGATGAAGATTAGTTATTCAAAATTGATGGCTCTAGGTACCGTTGTTTATACCAATGTGATAGCTGCTACATTATGCAGATTCTTCGTTACTTAAATTCTTTTAATATATCACAGGGCGATAATATTTCGTGGCAACAATTTGAAAAGTGAACCGACATTTAAAGTTTTCGACGTAAAACGCCAAAACGAAATTAATAGCCCTTTGGGATAAAAAAGCCCAAATTCCGTTCCTATTTGCAAACAAACGAAAAATACATTTAAGCACAGATTAATGTCTTCTGCTGTAATAGCGAGGCTAAGCAATGGAAAATTACCACATAGAACAATGAGTAATCTCTCTTACTATATACTACTATATATATAGCAGTATATAGTAAGTGTCTATATCTAATACAACCCTTAGTTTCCACGAAAACCAACAGGTGCTCACTTCTCTACTATTTTGAAATTCCCTTGTATAACAGCTTAATATTACTAAAAAATTATTAAAAAAATCATAGAAAGATATTATACAGGAGTGTTCAAAAAAAGATTAGGCTTGCTGAGGTTTTTTTTTTTTTTTTTTTTTTTTTTTTTTTTTTTTTTTGGTTGGGTGTGTGTGTGTGTGTGTGTTTTGTTTTTGTTTGTGTGTGTAAACAGGAAGTCATGAGAAAATGAGCAATGCCCTCGCTGGGACTCGGGCCATGTCAGTTCAATGTAGTCATGGAAAATGAGCAATGCAACTCCCTGGAACTCGGGCCATGTCAGTTCAATGTACAAGTGTTGGGTTCAGACTTCATCGATGAGTGCGTAATACAAATTAGATGATGGATCGTTTTTAGTTGTAATGTACAAGTGTTGGGTTCAGACTTCATCGGTGAGTGCGCAATAAACAAATTAGATGATGGATCGTTTTTAGTTACGAAAACAATGGCTCTGTTGTTTTTAGAATGAAGACAGAAATTAAAGGGCCATTGATTTATTATTTGAAAGCTTTGTGTAAATGGATCGAAATAAAGAACTTGAATGGAAGTTCTTTATTGATAATTCGTGTTTGTAATGAAGAATCAGTTTCCGCTTCACGTGGTAAACCCCAACGTGGCAAGGTAACTGACTGTCAATAATCATGTGACAAAACCGAAAAACTGCACTAAGCAGTTGATCTTCCACAATGTTCCGAATGCGTGATATGGCTATTACTGGCATCAGTGCACCTGGTTAAGAACGAAAAACGTGTGATTAAGAGTCTAAAATTTAACATCAACAGCAGTGCGATACGTATACGGTCTTTAGCATTTCAAAAGTAGTAGAACAGCGGAAATTTACTTACATGACAATGCGCAGAGACTGACCGCGAGTTCCAAACTTGATTCACCGACATTTTCTTAACAGCATTAACATCTACATAAGAAAGTTAAGTTTAGAATATATAAATAATTATGAAAAGATAAATAATTATTACAAACATCATGACTACAAACATATAAAATCAATAAATTTACTTCAAATTGCTATTCAGAGAATTTATAGAGAAAGTAAATAAAATGCAATGCGTATCTTCCGTTTCAACATGGCACACAATATGTAAGTTTACTTGCGTATTATCGCAACCTTCGTAGTAGCTTCAGAATACACCAAACTCTGGTAACCACGTGCATAACAATTAATCAGGAAACCACGACAAATATTCAATGTCCAACGTCGCCATTTTCGTTTGCGTTCTTTTTGAAATGTTCCAAGTTCCAACGGCTTTTATTTAAAAAATTATGATTTTTATCTTAAACTCGATTTTAAAATTTGCGCTTGTGAGATTTCCTGAAATAGAAGAAAAAGAGGTGAAATTTCTATAGGAATACATTATTTCGTCGAAAAATCGCTAAAGGAAAAATGCTTCGAATTCTTTCTCAGAGCAACTGCTAAGAAATTTCAACCACAACAAAAAACAAAAGGCCGTTTGTAACTAAGTTTACTGATTGTCTTTTGAAATAAATATATAATTGAAGCATAGGATATGTACGTATGTAATAGATAATTTTTTTTTACAATAATCGTTCTTTTTCTTCCACAAAATTCGCCATACTGCGCTAAGGTGTTTGCGATAATACGCAAGTCCCAAAATTTTATATTTATTCACAACGCATACATAAATTTACTATTTATTTCTCATCTTTCCATACGAAGCAGCAACTCAAGAATTATAATCGCACATATACATTAAAACAGTAAAATAGTTTCTCCAATGGAAATTGGCTAGATTTTAATGACTGTTCAGGAAAAGCGTAACTATTTATTATTTGGTACATCTTAAATTTCCCAACACTTTTATCACGCAAAAATGCATCTTCTACTTAATGCTGCATAGAAAATTTTTACTGCAAAAAGTCATCAAAACCAAACCAGATTTCGAAACCGAAGTTTACATTTTTTTATAAAGCAGAAAGAGAAACCTGAAAAACAAACTCAATTTATAAATCTTGCCTTTGATATCGAAATGTTATTTTCCATTACTAAACTTTTCCCACCTGTTATTTTTCTCTTTTATTTCCAACTTGAGCTATTACTTTAATCGAATACCGTGCTTTTTTATTTTTGAAAGATTAAAATGAAACTAGTATGGCTCACAACTACCATATTTCCATGTATTGCCAAGCAACTGCCAAATTTTAAAGTTTAATAATTATTAAATCTGTTTTAATAAATCAGTATCACTAATACGACGCCAAAAAGGTTTTGTATTATAATTAATTAGGCTTTTTTGCCTTGCACATTAACCCACACAGAACTGTATTTCTTCGTTTACCATTTTAAATTTATCCTCGTGATAAGCTTCCATATTCTTTCATAACAGTAATTTAAATCTCGAAATAAATTTGCTCTCAGATCCACCTAAAAACCACTTGTGTTGCTGCTCATATACCATCTTCCTGGAATCATTAAATTATATTTTGATGTTATGAAACAAATTTTTCCACAGGCAAAACTTATTTAGAGCTCCAAGCAAGACAGTCATGCATGACGGAAACAACGGTAATCATCTTTAACAGAAAAAAATTGCTTGACCTAAAATTTCGCGTTCCTGAAAAATTAACACCATGCGTAGATAAACTTCAGAAGATGGCGTTTGATTTTTTTTTTTTAATTTTAATTTTTTTAACAAAAGAAAAAAATAAAATGAACTTTCCATACCCATAAAAGTTATTAGAGCGTTAAAGGCGAAAA